TACTGTTTTTAAGTGGTGAATATGGCTTTCTGAGAAAAGAGAGAGGCACTGGTGACAAAATATAGAGCAGATGGAAGAAATGAAAGGTAAGATCTTAGAAAAAAGTTGATTGCTGCTTTAGTCATTGGCTCTTATGAAAAAAAGATAAGCTGTCATTTTTTTTAAAAGCATCGACACTTTTCTATGGCCTGAATCAATAAACGCAGCATTTACGGGAGTGGACCCATGAGGAAATGTTAAATTCTGGGACATTTCGAGACATATAAAAATTGCTGTTGCGCACATGCCAAAGTTTCTTCTGCACGCAAGAAGAAACATTTGCAAGAAAACGTCAAATATTACCTTATGAAAGTCATACCCTAAAAAATGGCACTTGCACGCTTTTTTCTGCAGCACGCTCAAGCTCTCTTTAAATTGTCTCAATTTGAATTATATTTTCATTGACCTTGTAAGTGCGAGTGGATGTATATTTGTCGTAGATAAAACTGTTACTTCTGATGTGCACTTCTGAAAGCCATTGATTATGGTAGTCGAGCGCACCCAAGTATAGCGTGAACGATGATTGGGTGTATGCCGCTAAACAAGGTTCTCTTAGAAAGATTCATCTTGTCATTAAGCTGTTTCCAAGGTTTCGTTACTCACAGTAACATTCTGCATCTCTAATTTTAACGATAACATACGCTGGTTGATTTGAAATATATTCTTCTTGGTTAGAACGCATACCGGCTGGTGTATTCCACTTGATTGGGGGTGCTAAAAGAAGAAAAGGTATGATTAGAACTTTCAGCAACAAAGATTTTCGGAAAAAACAAATTACCTTCTGTCTCTGCTTCTTTAGTGCTACTATTCTGATCTACTTCTAGACTACTCATATACGTGTTCGATGACATGTCTGTGCTTATCGTAGCCTCTTCTGTTCCATACGAATCTGGATTTTTCGGTATTTCCTTATTACCCGAGGTCAACGATATAGCAATAAAAGCTGGGGCAAGAAGAATATAAGACAGCTCACGGATCATCGTTTAGTGAAAATGAACAGTACTATGCTCTCATTTGATCTCGTTGATGCTGGGATGATAAGAAGAAAATATCGAATTTAGTAATGTGATTATGCATGAAACACAACAAGACAAGTAATTTTTTTAATAGGTGAGATCTTGGAGATCTGAAAGTTATGAACTTTGCAATTTTCCAAAAGATCGTGATGTTTACGACCTTACAAAACTGTAGTATATATAAATAAATAAATAAATAAATAAATAAATAAATATATATGACTGCAACAAGTAAATTGTGCACGAGACTTCAAGAACACTACAGCTCTTCCAGCAAGAGCAAGATCCATAAATATAGTTGACAAAAGTTGACACTACATGAAAAAGACGGTAAAAATTCTAGGTGACCTAGTATCGTTTATTGGAATTGTCCACTTCCTCCATATAA